CAAAGCAACAACTGCAGGACCTGACAGCTGGAATCTACTGGATAATCTGCTCATGCAGTCTGTGCTGAGGAGAAACAGCAACCTCTTTTCTGCTGGAGGTGAACACATCGCCCATGGGTGGCTTTGCTTGCTGTGTTTTTTTTTTTTTTTMCAGACATACATGGGTCAATGTGAAGCAGCAGCAGTAGAAAGGAGCTTCTTCCTTTGCCCCACATTCCGACTCCAAGCCCCCTTCCTGTGGGCCAGTCTGCCCACCTGGCCAATCCGGCGCTCTTTCTTGCTGCAAACGTGTATGCTGAGAATACCTGAACTGAATTTGAATTACCACATGACGTAGGCCCCCTCTTTTTCCTCTGTAGCACTAGTGTCCTATACTGGTAACAGTGACTGTTCCAGACAGACCCACACAGGGGCTCAAACACACAATTTGTTGCACCAGCTAACACCCCCCCCTCTCTCCTCCTCTCTCTCTCACACACACACACACACCTCCTCAACCCCTCTTCTGCCTCTATCCATCCTTATCTCTCTGTACACACACACACACACACACACACGAGAGACAGCGACCATAAGGAGGTGAAAAAGGACATTTCTGGAGAAAAAGTATCGTCTCATGGAAGTGTGAGTGATCCAACCACACGTCATGGGTTAAATGGCGATGAGTAATGGGGATGTACAGCAGCATGTCACACCGAGCAGCCTCTGGATGCAGTAAGACAAAAAAAAAAGAAGACACTTACGCATTTTCTCGAATAAATGAAATCGAGGTTGAGAGCAGTGCGGGAAAAATCAGCAGCAGGGCCCCGGTCCCCGTTTCCAAGATCTGCTGCGCCGTGACCGAGGCACAAATCTCCATGTGAAAAGGGACCTGGAGGCTGCTGCAGTCCGCGTCTCCCTCGATCACAAGTCAAGACGCACGCCTGAGAAAAAATGCCAAACATTCAGAAAGAGTTGCGCGGATCTGCGGTGCCGCCACCATTCCCTCGGATGTGCACGATCCACCAATCCCCCCCCCCACCCCTCGGATGACCAGCAGCAGCAGTGGCCTGGTGCCTGGAACCTGGAGATATTCCTCTGGACTGAGGAGGAGGAAATCCTGCAGAGTTTCACATGAGGGGGAGATCAAGTCTGTAAAGGCCCCTTTTCCTCTCTCTCCCAGCACCCCCCGTCCAAAACCAGTCACAGTCCAGAACTGACTCCCACCGGTGGTTTCCTCTTTTCCAAAAAAAAAAAAAAAACCCTACAGAAAGAGATAAGAAAAGGAAGAAGAAAAAAACAAAAAAAACAAAGTGCGCTAATTCTTCCGGATCTCACAGCCTGGATGCGTTTTTACGCGCATCGTTGTCTTTGGAATGAAGCTCAGCGCACACACACATGACAATCAGCTGCTGCCTATTTACAGCATTGCTGATAAGGTCAGCGCAGAGAGGTGCGGGAGCGTCCTGCGAAACAAGAAGAGGACCTGAGGACGCCTATTGGATGAGAATTAAGGATATCCGTCCCACTGCAACCATCACACGCGTCACATCAGCCCCAATGGCTTGTCATCGGCTGCGGAGCATATGGTGCGCGGCGTTTTCCGCCAAGAAGAAGAAGGGGCGAGAATCCGCGAGACGCCGCTTCCAATCCCGATGTATTGATTACATAACGCGGCTATTGGGGGATAATTCCGCTTGTCGGGGCGCGTGTGTGCGATCCGCGCGGCGTGGACGCGGCGGCGGCGGCGTCCGTGCGCTGCAAATGAAGCGTGTTCCTGCCACCGGCTCCTAATGGCTGCAGCCCCACGAGCGCGCTGAAATCACGGTCCCCGGGCACAGATCTGCGTGTGCACGGAGTCACGTGTGTGTGAGTGAGTGAGTGAGGCGAGTGTAAGTGCAGGTGCGCGCCCCGTGTAGGCGTGAGCGTGTTCGCGCATCGCCCAGGGACCACTTTAACTTTGACCACCCCGCGCGCCCGTCCATCTGCCCATTTAAATCAGCCAGAGGTCGTTAATTATCAGGGATCAATAGCATTAACGCATCAAGCCCCAGGTCTCATGTCTTTGAGTGTGTGTGTGTGGGGGGGGGGGGGGGGGATGCGCGTCCACGTGTGATTCAGTTCTTGATGAGGTATGGTTGCCACCTACAGGCGTCAGTCTCCATCCAGTCACCCAACACAGGACCATGTCCACACACTGCAACACGTAGAGTTCTCCTCCACATCGACAGCAGGGACACAGCATCAAGGCCGTGGACTAACTGGAACATCACATTATATCCCCACCTGTCCGACACCAATTCATTCCTCATACAAACCCTGTGGAACTCCTGCACGGCTCCGTACTGATTTACAGGCGATGGTCGTATAAAAGGAGAACGTTTCACTTCGTCCGCCGCTATTGATGCGGCGCAGACCGGGCGGTTCTGCAGGAGAAGGAGGTTTAGTGACTTTTGTGACCTGCAGTATAGACAAGAGAGTGTGCATTCATTTGATCTGAGATGAACAGCCTGTCTCATTAGATGACATAATGGACCACAATTCAGCTACCTGACAGAGTGGCTCCTGGCCACTGAGGTCGTGCTGCCGAGTGAGACACAGAGAATATAAATCAGTCATATAATGGAAATGTATCACATGTTGTTTTCATCACACACACACACACACACAAAGAGCTGAGTGAGAGACTCCGAGGAACATGAGGTGAGTAATTACAGTTTATCTGCAGGAGCGGTGGGAGGAGGAAACAATGTGAATGAGATGCTGGAGAAACAACGTGGAGCAGACGCTTCACTGCGGAGCAGGAGGTGTTGATGGGCTGTTGGAGTATGTAAAGGAGGTGATTCACCAGATCAACATGTTAGACAGTCGTCATCAAAACAACAAATGAGATAAACGGGGCAACGACCAAAGATCAGTTTCATCATCAAGTAACAGGGTTAATCAGGATTTATTCATCATTTTATCTATGAAATGTGAGTGACAACTTTATTACATTATAATGATGTCATTTCATAGTGATCAGGATGATGACAGATGATTGGCGGATCTGAATTAGATGTAGATCGTGTCTCTAATTGTACTGGATGCGAAGTTTATGCATTTCTACGTGACGAAATGTGGAATTTTCATTGTGAAGACACAATAACACCATTCCCATAATCCATCCATCATCCATCCATCATCCATCCATCATCCATCCATCCATCCATCATCCATCCATCATCCATCCATCATCCATCCATCCATCCATCATCCATCCATCATCCATCCATCCATCATCCATGGCGGAGGAACCAATAACAGGTCATCAGTGTATCACGGGGCCAACATACAGGCAGTTTCTGACTCATCATCACTCATCATGTGATTGCAGATGTATCTTGGGAAACAAATATTTCTTCAAACTTTTTGCTGACCTTGAATTTCACTTCCGACCAATCAGCTCCAAAGGTTAATCATCTGGAGATGCTCTTCCGAGAAGCATCTCATTAAGTTTGGGGGGAATTGGATGGATTCGTTGTTGAGTTATTTGGTACAGAGACACAAAAGCAGGGATGAAAAATATCACAATTCCCCAAAGCCCAAATTGTTGTGTCTAAAGTCTGAAGATGCTGGGAATCAGGAGGAGTCGTCATCACTGTCTGTAAAAGGTTCCGTCTCACTTCTCCATCCAGTAGATATTTTGATGTGCAGCTCGGTGGTGGACGGACTGGGCAACAAACCAAACTGTGCCAGCATCAGCGTTTGAAAAGTTAGTGTGGCTACAAATTACTTAAATGATTGATCTGTTTTCAAAATAGCTGCAGATTAAATTTCTGTTGATTGATTAATGATTAAACTGTGGAGGAAGTTGAGTTTCAGAAACAGGGAGAATCTAAACACACGGACAAACCAACGCTTCTAAACAACACTTAATGTTGGATTTTCCTTTAATTAGTTATTGCACTTAGTCATCAATCAATTATGACAATATGTCACAACAGTTGTCTGCAACACATCACAAGAGTCAACTGAAAAAGAAAGTTTTTAGAAGCTGTTGTGTTCATAATGACGACCTGTGAGTTTGACAGTTTTATCGACAGCCGAGATGAAAAAGTGTGTGTGGGTGGATCATAAGAAATGAGATTTCAAAAAATGATTTTTGACTGAAATCGAAGTCAGAGACTCATTTTAAGAAGTAAGGCTAAACTCTGTCCTTGTGCTCCTGTTTGTCATTGTTAAAACTCTGCTGCCGAAACTTTCTTTTAAACACAGCCGATGTCAGTTTGTGTAAAAGTAAAACACACTTCTTGTAAGCGGATTTTCCACGACAAGGTCAAAATTAGTAATTAGGTTTTCAGTTGTCGGACAATTCATTATCTGAGTTTTTAACTCCCATGCTTTTATTTGGAAATGTGAATATTTTAGTTCTGTGGAAGTCAGAACTTTCCTCCTTTATGCATAATTAAAACTGCGACCTGACAAAACACAAGCTGTTTCACAAATACGTCTTTACAGCAAAATAGTCATACACAGTTTTATTCAAATGTGGGTTAAAAAAACGGCACGTGACTCTTGTCCTTTTTGCCAGTAGACCAGTTTGTCTCTGTTTTTTTTCTGTTGAATCCTGCTGCTAGCGATGTCCAGTGCAGAGGGGAGAAGCACGTTCGCCCGGGTTAGACACGTTTAGCTGATAAAAACCTGTGTCTTCAACAGCGTTGTTTCCCAACAAAATCCCAGATTTGACAGTTCCAAAATGATCCTTTTGTGGGAGAGGTTTCCAGACATAATCTTGATGTCACAATATCGAAATCGGAGATTTATCGGAGATACTTGTGTGGCATGAAAGGAACAGCTAGTGAGCAGAAACCAGCAATAGCCATGAGAGAGCTGATGGGGAAGTGTCGCCATGTGGATTTGACATCCTTGTGTTGTGAACCCAAACTGAGACGTTTGATTCCTGAACCAGGTGGACGGTAGAAAAGGACGAACTTGTGGAATATTTAAAGGTTCAGTGTGTATAATTTAGTGACATCTAGTGGTGAAGTTGCATGTTGCAGCTGAATACCCCTCACCTCACCCTCCGGGGTCAGGTCTCACCCTGATTGTCTACGTGCGTCCTCTCGATTAAAAGATAATAAATCGGCTAGGTTACAGTTGTCGTTATGTCCGCGGTCTCCCCTCCTTTTTAAAATCAGTTAAGATTTAAAATTCCTCTCGTGTGCAGCGGCCATAAATCAGAGGAAATCTCATCTGCAGGAATTTTTCATCGCCTCAGTATAAAGTCAGCTCTCGGTTCACGCAACTGGTCGTCTCCTGTGATTCTCATTACCTATATTGGTCTTTACTTCAATGTAATCTTCCATACGCAGCCCCAATGTTAATGTGGTGCCCGTTACATAACTTGCGAGAGACTTCCACCGTCTCTCCGCTAAAAAACACTCGAGATACATTTGATATATTTTCCAGTTATCAGCATTTTATTCACGATTTGATGAAACATGCATTTTAATTCCTCGAGATCCCCTGAGCAGGAAAAAAAAATTAAAAATAAAAAGTGCAGGGAACCAGGGGGAGGGCTACACAAACACACACACACAAACACACACACACACCCTGCACTGCTTTAAACGAAAGCCTCAGCAGATCTGCACAATCAAATCAATGTCAACAACATTCTGCTTCAACAATGAACTCCCTCATTACATTGTTTTTCATGCTGTGACAATAGTAATATACTGTATTTCTTATTTAGCCTCCATTAATTTCTTTCAAACCCATACAGCAGTGGTGAAGCCCACAAACAGCTTCATGGGTGGTAACTCCACACAACGAGTTTGAGCAGCATGTGACAGCTCGACAGCCTCCGTTACGTCTGTTTTCTATGCAAAAGGCAAAGTTGGAAAGAGTTTGGTTCTCACTTTTGTTCCTGTGCATTTTTTCCTGAAGGATTCAG